AGCCTATGCCTATATTAATGAATCATTCCTTTGGGAATATAATAACTCCTTAAAACTGGTTTCATCCTTAGCTCTATCTTACATATTTGAGAAAGACCAATGATCACTCACTGTGTACTGCCATATCCCGATCATAAATGCTGTGACCTAAATGAATTAATATGGTCGTATTATCTTGGCCATGTGATGACCGACACGTCGACAAGTTTATTGAGCTACCTTTTCTCCTTTACTGAAAATGGTAATATCATATAGTCTCGATCCTGATTCCTACGACGGAAGGTCCTTCCTCTTTCCAGAATTAGGTCTTCCTGGAGTTCTTGGGTACCAATTCTCAAATCTCAAAAGTAGAGACAGAGGAAATAGGAGTGAGGACGCTCAGTTCCAGTCTGACTTTGCCATTAAATTCTCTGTGTATGTCTAAAAAAGACATGTTCAACCATCTGGGCCTCATGCTCTTCACCTATAAAATAAGGAGTTGGACAGGTGAATATTTTTTTAAGTTCTTCTTCAGTTCCAAAGTTGTCTTCTCTGTAATTTTACAAACTACCAGGCCTAGAGCAAAAAGGCTACTGTGTGAGTTTGTGTTGATTCGGTAATTCCGTACATTAGAATCAAAGGTGGTTCAAATGCTTAGCTCTCCGGAGCTTTACTTGTCAGCCTTTAGGGCAGAACGAATACAATTAAAATGGGTATAGTTTCATGGTGGCTTTGCTTCATCCTGCTGGGGCTAGGAAACCTCTCCAGAGAATCACCTCAATGATGAAAATCACCAGTTTCAATCTTCCTTTGGCAAAACAAAAGGACTCCGTTATGCTGGAAGAAATTGTATTCTTCTGTATAAAATCCTGCGTGCCGAATAAAGAAACTTGATGACATTATTGCGGGATTAAAAAAGAAAGATCAGTGATTTTTCATAAGGTTACCAATTGGAGCTTCTAATCTGTTAGCCCGATGTGGAGCTGGTAGGTCATTGACAGCAAAGCTCTTGCATGGGAGGGATTTAGCATATGACTAATTTTAAGGGCTAACAACCTCGTAACACAGAAAGCTTTGGAAAATCAAAAGTATTATAGGTGTTTTAAAGAAAGAAATGTAGATTATAAGACTAACTTTTGATTACTCACTAATTCCACTTCTGGACATATTTCCCAAGGAAATAATTAGAAATGTGGTAAAAGCTGTGTTCACGAAGATGCTGAGGGTAGGGTTATATAAATATACAATAGAAAAATATCGGAGCAGCCAATATCCACTAATGGAGTGGTTAAATGAATTACTCCATTCACAGGGTTTGAATAATATGAAGACATAAACTGAAATATAATTATACAAAAACATGGAAAAAATAGTTATAATATGTTAACTGATAAAACCCAAGGACAGATCTATGTACCGTAGTAATCATGATACAGAATCGTGAATAGTGAAAAGGTGGTAACATTATGCAATAGTTACATAAGAATCAAGAGGTTATGGGTGACTTTTCTCTCTACTTTCCCAACTTTCCATAATGTTTCTGGGTTACCTTTACATCACAGTGGTTCGGAGCACAAATGTTGCCGCCATATGCCTGTGTTCAAACCTGGCTCGGCTTCTTACCAGCTGGGTGAATTCATAAAATTATTAACCTCTCCTCTCAGTTTCCTCGTTTCAGAAATGAGGATAATTCTAGCAACTCCCTCATAGGTTGTGAAGATTTAATGAATTTGTATAAAAATCACTTAGATCGGAGGATAGGACATGTGGCAAATATTATGTGTTTGCTCTTTATTATTGTTTAAAATAATTTATCTTATTTCATCTATAATGTCTTTTCTATTGATAGAAATATTGCGCTTTTTTTTTTTAAATAAAGAGAATATAAAAGTTTCTTCCTCAAATCACTTGGCCCCTCTGACACATAAACACCAATCCCCCGCAATGCAGGAAAAATTACTGGTAAGTTTATGTATTTTATACATAATCCCTCTCCGCTCAGACTCTCATCTTCTATCTTATTTCTTGGAAAGTTTCTTACAGTACACTTAGATACACCAATCGATTTACAGGTACTCACATAAATATGAGGATCAGTGATTACCACCACCGAAGTTGAAATAAGATCTATGACTTCTTTTTGCTTGAGTCTCTGAAATCACCAGAGTTCATAGCACCCAAAGATGCTATGATCCTTGTCAGCAAATAAGGAAAACTTAGGTTTTTAAACAACAGTCTGTTATAAGCAATTTTATTTCAGAAATTGTTGGGAGCTAGAATCTGACTTTACTTTTTCTAAGACTCCTTGGCACGGAATTTGTTTCCATAGTTAGGAGGCAATACAGAAGAACCAAAACTCAAACTCATTAAAAATCAGATAAGCAAAAAACTTTTAAGTAAACTTTTAAAATGAGAAAATAGTTGGAATATTTGGAAGTGGATGAGACCTAGATATTGATAAATGTTAGTAGTGACATGTAGATATTCCTAAATATTTAGTTAAAATTTTTAACTTTTTTAAATGTTTATTTATTTTTGAGAGAGAGAGAGAGACAGAGTGTGAGCAAGGGAGGAGCAGAGAGAGGGAGAGGAGACACAGGATCCGAAGCAGGATCTCTGAGCTGTTAGCACAGAGCCCAACGTCGGGCTAGAACCCACGAACTGTGAGATCATGACCTGAGCTGAAGTCGAAGGCTTAACCGACTGAGCCACCCAGACACCCCTTAGTTAAATATTTTAAAGTGGAAGAAAGTTCCTAGGTCCACGACTACTTTGTCCCTAATACAGCTCCTCACAGGTGACAATTTTTTTTTCACTTCTTACTGTTATTACTTCCATATACTTAAATAATGTGCTGGTACTTCTAGGTCTTGATTTTTTTCTAATCTGACAAACTGTTTTACCTGGCAAGTTAGTGCATTCGTCTGTGTGATGACTGCTTGTATATTTGAAATGAATTGCACAATCTTATTTTGTGTTCTCTTTCTCCATGCTTTCCCCTCCCTCCATCAGTTTCTGTCTTTTTGGATTTATCAAGATTTTTAAAATTCTCTTATTTGCTTTAGTTAGTTTAGAAGTTATTAAGTATATGTCTGCTGGGAATTTGACTTAACTAACTTAAATTGATCGATTTTTAAATGTGAAGGAGCGCCTGGGTGGCTCAGTCAGTTAAGCGTCCAACTTCGGCTCAGGTCATGATCTCCCGGTTTGGGTTCGTGTCAGCTGTGCTGACAGCTTAGAGCCTGGAGCCTCCTTCGGATTCTGTGTCTCCCTCGCTGTCTGCCTCCCCCCCACCCCATGCTCTCTCTCTGTCTCTCAAATATAAATAAACATTAAAAAAAACTTTAAATGTCAAACCGAAATTTTAATTTGCCTATAAACCCAATTTTGTCATGATATAGTATTCTTTTCATACATTGCTGTTTCCGAGTTGCTAATACTCCGGAAAGTTTTCTATCTGTATTGATGAGTAAGATTGGCCTCTACTACTCTTCCCTTTTACTGACATTGTCGGGAATTGCCACCCAGGCAATACTAATTCTTAACATCAGTTGAATCAGTTGAGAAGTCAAACATTTTTTTCAGTTCTTTGGAGGAGCTCGTGTACAATTAGCATTGTCCTTCCTTAAATGTTCAATAAAACTCAGCAGTGAAACAATTTGGACCTCGAGTTTTGTGGTAGAAAGTCTTATATTACCGACCTGATTAATTCAACATTAAAATGTTTTAAGAATTTATTTCATACAAATTAAAAAATTTTGTCCCTAGAATCTGTAATGATGTTATGCATTTTTAGGACTGAACTGTGCCTCCCTCTTTCTTCATCAGCCTGTTAATGTTAATAGTTTTATCAGTTACTTTTGACTTTGTGACCTTCTGTATTATGTATTTGTTTTCTATTTCGTATGAATATCATCTCTTTCTTTGAACTGATTTTCCTCTAACTTCTTGTGAGGGACTCCTAGCTCCTTTATTTAAGGCTGTGCACTTCACTCTACATAGTGATTTCGCTGCAACCTGTGAATTTTGTCAGGAAGTATTTTCAGATTTTACAAAGAAATTGATCACGAAGCAAGAGGTGGACTGGAGATGCTATGACCTATTTCCTGATCACCCTTCAAGAAGAAATCGTTGATCCCCTCATTTGCTGACAGTCCTCTGGCAGAAGGCCTAAAGCTTAAGACCCCTTTCCTGTACTGCCTTTCCTGGTGAGCGTGCCTCACTCAGGGTTATGCTTCCTTCTTTGGGCACTCTGCACCTAGTACCTGACTGAGGTAGGCTAGAAATTCCTGACCCTCCATGTTTATAGCCGCTCTAACAACAGTAGCCAAGTTATGGGAAGAGCCCAAATGTCCATCAACTGATGAATGGATTAAGAGGTGGTATATATATATATATATATATATATACACACACACACACACATATATACACAATGCTACTTGGTGATGAAAAAGAATGAAATCTTGCCATTTGCAACAGTGTGGATGGAGTTGGAGGGTGCTATGCTGAGCGAAATAAGCCAGTCAGAGAAAGACGGATATCACATGATTTCACTCATATGTGGAATTTGAGAAACTTAACAGATGATTATAGGGGAAGGGAAGGAAAAATAAGATAAAAACAGAGAGGGAGACAAACCATAAGAGACTCTTAAATATACAGACAGCAAACTGAAGGTTGACAGGGAAGAGAGCGTGGGAGGGTGGGGAAAGTGGCTGATGGGCATTAAGGAGGGCACTTTTGCAGATGAGCACTGGGTGTTATATGTAAGAGATGAACCACTGGATTCCACTCCTGAAGCCAAGACTACACTGTATGTTAACTAACTTAAGAATATGTTAAAAGAATAATAAAAATAAATAGATACATTCCTGACACTCCCCAGTTTGGGACAACACTTACAGGCCAGCTTCACCCCCCCCCCCCCCCCCCCCCCCAGAGTCTGCTCAGGTCTCTGTTGAAATTTCCCAGGTATACTTCTTCAGTCCAATATTGTTTTCTTCTCTTTATTCCCACAGGTATTGATCCCAAGAGTTTTCTAAAAATCCCCTGGAGGGGTAATCTCTGTATCATTCTTTCTCTCAGGGAATTAGACCTTTGAGAGAAGACTTTCTGGGAGAAATGATATTCAAGCTGAGAACTAAAGTAGCTGTCTAGAAGATAGGTGTGGTAAGTACCAACAGGCAGCTCACTGGGTGGGGAGGAGAGGCGTGTGCATGTGTAGGTGTGCTAAAGTGGAGTGGTGGTGGGGAAGCATGGCCGTATGAGAGAAAGAGCTAGAAAAGCATGCTTACCTAAACCACGGAGGAGTTTAAAGTCTCCCTTGAGAAGTTTTGGGCCTTCCATCCCATTGGAAGTCCTACAGTTGTAGGTCCTGGGCATGGTTCATTGATTAGAAGGGCTAGGTGGGAACTCTTTGCCAGATAGAATTCAAGAATATACGTGGAGCCAAATTTCGTTCAAATAGTAAAGATATTACCATTTCTTGAAGCATGATAGCACTTAGCCAACCACACATGTTTGCAGATAGAAATGATCGCTAAGTGATTCCAGAGTCTTTAACTATCCACTTCCTCATTAGAAGGCCATTTCACTGTTGACTTACCCAGCAGGATTTTGGAAAATGTTTTTACTCTGTTGGGAACATGTAGCCTTCTATTCTTATGGCTTGCAGGCAAATGGCACCCACAGGGAAAATTCTGCACATTGTCAGTTCTCAGATATGCAACCAGCTCGCTGCTGTGCTTTATTAAAGGCATAGATCTGAACTTGTGCTGAATATGTACAAAGGAAATTTGATTTGTTCATCTTTATAACATCAAAGAGTTACTCCAGTTCCAAAGGCAGCCTATTTACTGTCTCATTAAAGGATCAGCACCACAGTAATGTTTTCCAATAGGTGGTGTCACCGACAGCTTGGCGTTCCCTAGGTTTTAAATGCACTGGAGAGGGGCGCCTGGGTGGCTTGGTCGGTTAAGCGTCCGACTTCGGCTCAGGTCATGATCTCACGGTCTGTGAGTTCGAGCCCCGCGTCGGGCTCTGTGCTGACAGCTCAGAGCCTGGAGCCTGTTTCAGGTTCTGTGTCTCCCTCTCTCTGTGACCCTCCCCCGTTCATGCTCTGTCTCAAAAATAAATAAACGTTAAAAAAAATTAAAAAAAAATAAATGCACTGGAGAATGCAACATGATCCTATAGAAAATTCAAGCTAATACCTATTTCTTCAATTGTTAATAATTTATCAGCTATGGAAAAAGCACTGATTTTTTATTATTATAAAAACGCAATAAAAAAATTAAGCTTTTTGGCTAGGAAAAAAACCTCTTTAAGTATTCAGAGAATCCACGTAGAAGTAGGTGGCAGAGGGAGAACGGAAGGGGAGGGGGTGAGGAAAGTAAAAGAATATCTACCTTTACTGGACTGGAGAGAAAAATAATGATGTTTTTATAAAGATTTGAATAAACACTTCAAAGATCTGCCACCAGCAAGAAAGGTCAATAGAGTCCCTTTGATAATGGATCCAGCTGAAAGTAGCAAACCCTGTTGCATAAATACAGGACTTCAAAAGCAGCATTGCAACTCCTGAATGACAGGTTGTTAACCTTACCAGTTCAGTGTATCCAGGAGAAAACAATGTTTGTGTATGGAGTTTCATCAAAACAATTGGTAGGCACAGTGATATTTTGCGGTGTAGCTCGACACAGGGAAGTCATTTCTTGCCCATGTAGTAATCCAGTGAGGACTGGTCATATGTTCCCACATACCTGTAGTGGAGGCTGGGAGGTGTAATCTGTGACTGGGAACCCACTTTGCAATGTCACCTCTGTATACTCTGGTAACTTTGGGGTCAGTTAACCCTCTTCCACATGAGCCATCACTGTCCTCAGAAAATTTCAACAGATCTCTTTTGATTGGTTTTTCTGATAATTCCTGCATTGATATGCAAACATCTAATCTATATGTAATCCTCTGCATTTAGGAAAAAAATGATTATGTTCAGTTCAATTGAATAAAAATCATTGTATTAAATATTATGGGGGATCTGATGTTGTTGAGGTTCAGTGTTAGATTCTGTGAATAAGATATTATTAGGGTCTTCAGGGAACTCTTAGAGAATATATTCTAATAAAACTCAACTTCAATAAAATGTAGTAAGTGCTAGTTTCTTTTAAGAGTGCTAGATGTTTATTCTTCCTATAGTTGAAATAAGGAATCATTCATTAGAGGATTGTCAGAAGCTCAGATACAATTGTACTGACATTTGAATAAAGTTTTTTGGTGTCATGTGTCAAATGAAACAAACTTGATAAGATTTTAGTATATCACACACACACACACACACACACACACACACACACAGTGGAATATTACTTGATGATCAAAAAGAATGACACCTTGCCATTTGCAACGATGTGGATGGAACTAGACTGTATTATGCTAAGCAAAATAAGTCAGTCAGAGAAAGACAAATATCATATGATTTCACTCGTATGTGGAATTTAAGAAACACAACAGACCATAGGGGAAGGGAAGGAAAAATAAGATAAAAACAGAGAGGGAGGCAAACCATAAAAGACTCTTAAATACAGAGAACAAACTGAAGGTTGCTAGAGGGGCTTTGGGTGCAGGGATGGGCTAGATGGGCGATGGGCAGTAAGGAGGGCACTTGTTGGGCTGAGAACTGGGTGTTATATGTAAGTGATGAATCACTAAATTCTCCTCCTGAAACCATTATTACTCTATGTGTAAACTAACTTGGATTTAAACAAAATAAACAAAAATTAAAAAAAAATTTAGTATGGTTCTAACATGTAACCATGTAGAGAATTTTACATTGCATTGAAAATGACTTTGAAAAAATTTTTTTAACGTTTATTTATTTTTGAGGCAGAGAGAGAGCATGAACGGGGGAGGGTCACAGAGAGAGGGAGACACAGAATCTGAAACAGGCTCCAGGCTCTGAGCTGTCAGCACAGAGCCCGACGCGGGGCTCGAACTCACGGACCGCGAGATCATGACCTGAGCCGAAGTTGGCCGCTTACTGACTGAGCCACCCAGGCGCCCAGAAAATGTCTGATTTTGAAGAAAACTCTTCTCAGTTCTGTCTTTCCAAAGTGGAGGAGCCGCAGACTCGGACAAGCCAATGTGATTTTTATTTTGTAATACACCACATGCAGTCAGTCTTCTGACAACTAATAATTGATATTTGGTCTTACTGAGCTCTAGGTCAAGAAGTTTTCCATAGCACGGAGGAGTTTGACGTGCCACATAACAGCACAACCACAGCATATACAATCAATGCTTCGTCTTTCTTGTATCATTACTTGCTATGTTCTTCAGTGCCTGCCACAGCCCAGAATTACTACCCCTAATTCCACCCTTGTGCTTTTTGATAAAGAATCAGACACATTTTTGGATCTTCAGATGGAATTAGTTATTGTAATGGAAAGAAATTAAACCCCAAAGGCCTGGGTCTGCCATTGGGTGACCTGCAATATGCATTTCACCATTCAGTGCCTTAGTTTCCTCATGTGTGAGAGTCTCACAGTCATGAAGCTACAATTTTCTATGCATTTTGTTTAGTGAGTCTATTACTCTAGTATATTTCTGTATAATTATGTTGTCTATGTAGGGAATTCCAACGTAAAAAAAAAAAAAGTCCATTGGATACAGGCTATAGCCTTTTTGTTATTTAGATACAACCTACCTACTTGTTCAATTTGGAAATCGGTTGTTCACACTACCTTCGTTTATGTCTTTAGCTTCTTCTGTGCTGCATCTTTCTTATCTCCGTAAATACAAATTATCGACTACCTGAAACTAACTCCATAAGCTACGAGCTTAAAAATTGCACAATTCTTCTGTTTGGCAGTACTCGAAGGAGGAAGATAATGTATTGCAAATAAATAGGCTTGGTTTTGGGACTGCTTCCAATTTTGAATCCTTGGCAGTGTTGGACTTCCACTGGAAAATAAAATTAGCCAAAGCTCTAGCTCAAAATCTTTTGAAAGATAAAGCTCTGGGGATTACTCTAATGTATTCAAGGTGTCCATGCGCCTTGAGTATGGCTAATAATAAGCTCCCTGGAAAATATGATGAAGATGCTGGCAGGTTATCAAAGTTCAACCAAAATCAACTTCATGCACATCTAAGGCTACCATTTCCAAAACAGATCAGTGGATTTTAGGTTTATTGTTTCATTTGGAATGTTAAGTTTGGGAGTGTGGGAGGCATTTTTCATCATCATAGGGAAGAGGACAATAAGCCTCGCCTCCCATATTCAGTGTGTATCTGCTTGCTGTTTTATCTTAGCATCTGAAATTCAAAGTAGCTTCCTCCAAAGCAAAAGGCCACCCAGGAGCTGGAATGAAACGAGCACGAGGAGGAATTTGCGGTGAAATTTGGCCACAGTCCCTGAAAGCCCCCTTCCTGCATTTTTTCAGAGTGTAGGGTAATATTTGAGTGTCCGTAACGTGATAGATGTTCTACCCCCCCCAGACTCAGTCTTGGGGAATTCTTCTCGGAGTGATTGGACTTCAGAAGTGAATAAAGGTATTACTTGCCTATTCCAAAATTCAGAGACACTGATGAAAATATTTCAGATCATAAGAATTTCCCTAGTAATCCAGCTACATATCAGGTTCATAGAAAAGGGTTTAATTTTCATAACTGAATAAACTCCCTTTCTATTCAGGAATTATGTAACTTCCAGCCGTCATTTTTAACTAAGGAGATGAAATGAAGGTTGAATCAAAGTCATCTGTAACACTTTCTCAACTCTCACCTTCTCTCCTCTCAACAGGCCCCATTGTCTCCCCAAGAGAAATTCTAGCACATTCTTGCCCGTGAGGCAGCATGTTAGAAACTGCCACTGGGATCAATAGTTACTTATAAGAGTGGGTTGTATCTCCCGGATGCTGGAGTGGGAAAAATGTTGAGAAATAGCTCTGCTGTCTTAGAGCAACATTTCTCAACAGTGTCCTTAGCCCTTCGAGGATCTGTGAAGTTAGTAATGGAGACCTGCAGGCGATGTTCATTATTTTTTAAAGCAACCTTATGGAACCTTTATATCCACTGACAATGAAGCTGCTCTAGCTGCTGGCTGAAACCTGGTCTCTTGTCTTCAAGCTAAAATTATATCAAGTCATGGTGATGAGGTGACTATTGCAAGC